AAGGAAGTAGTTGTGCACATTAGGTGAGCCAACACACAGTGCTGGAGAAGGAAGGTTAATAAAGGAGGAATAACTCTTATGTTCTCTTTACAGTAGATGAAAATGAAAGCAGTTAGAATACAAAATGTGATCAGAATACAACATTGTAATTAAAACTGTGAAATCAGTCTCTCCTTTCCTACTCTGTCCTTCCTAACCTTCATCATTGCCCTGCTCACTTTGGGATTTTCAGATGATAATAATCTTTGAGGATTTACTCCTCATTTGGACTGCTCCAATTCAGGCATTTTTCTGTAATCTCTTCCCTATTTCACTGCTACTTCAGCATTCCCACCAAAACTTATTCTGGATGTTGACTACTCCAGTCCTGAAATACTGAAATATCTTCTGCTCAGCCTCCATTTTTCACTTTCTTTCCCAAATCGTATTTGTCCACTTGCCCCACCTTGAGCCGACATCCCACCAACCATGCACACACCTTTTGGCTCTCTCCTCAGGCTGCCCTTGCTTTTTCCATCCTATTCTAAAGTTTTGGTTTTACCTTTTATGGTCCTGCAGGCAAACATCCTGTAGCATTTCTTCTTACTTCTTCATCTGTTATCAGTGTTTCACCAGTTCTGTTTTTCCACCCATGTCCTTCAGGCAAAATTCAGAGAAGACTTCAGCAGCAGCCAAAGAAAGATCTGAATAAGGACTGTGGGTATTATCCTCTTGTACCTTAAGCAGTGGAATGGTTCAGTCCAATAAATTGTGAATACAGACGTGGGAGTTATTAGAAAAGAAAATAGCAATACAACATTCCCTTTAAAAGGGTATTCATTAGTGCAATGAAGACCTAACATGTGGGCAAGTGCTGATGAACCTGTTTTATCCCTTTTGAGTGCATAAAACTGTAAGAAATTGTAATAAATACACATTTACTCATTCAGGCCTAGCAGACTTGAAAAATTGTAAATCTCATTTCCATGCAACATCATGCATAGTGTGTTTTATGTGAAGCAACAGACTATGCTATACCTCCTGTGTTAATTGAAGGTACAAAACCAGAGCACTGATAAGGATTCCCATGAGCCTCCAACTCTGCTAGTCACTATTACTTTTCAGGCATAATCTCTGTTACACATTCCATCACTAATATAGTAAAAAAAAAAAAAAGCATTTATTCTTGGAAAATGCCCATCAATGTTGCAAATGACTGTGATCAATAGCTTGGTTATCTTAATTGCAGCCTGTTAAAAATAATGAGATTTGCATGGTAGAACCCAAAGAATTACACGGATAAAGGAAAAAATTCTCAACGTAAAGGTTAATATAAACATATACTGGCTGGGAGTGCAAAGGACACATAAATTGATTGCTCATTACTGCAGACTGACCCATGGGTAGGAATGTCACCCAGCTCAGAGGCTTTCCCAGGAAGTTTGGCTGCAAAAGTTACAAAAGATAAGGACATGCTTGTGGAATCCACTAAACTAATGAGAGCTGAAAGTTGTTTGAAATATCCCGATGACCTCACAGATGGGATGCTTATTAAGGTATCTGCATCAGTCTCTTTTTTGTCTAACAGATTGTTGTAAAGCTTTGCTGAGGCGTAGCCAACAGTCCGTGAAGGTGTCTCCATGCTTTCTCACATAGTAAGGGCTGGGGATTTTTTTAGGTTAGGTTTTTTTTTTTCTGAATGAATTCAAAACGAAAACCAAGATGCAAATACAATTTTTGTTGGTGTGTAAATTTGTGGCATAGCACATTCAAGGCAGTCAGTTGTGATTACTTCATCGACACGGGGTCTGCCCGCTACCTACGTGCCTATCTGCTCGAGTGCGCTGGTCAGGAGCCAACTGCAAATTTAGGTCTTGGAAGTCTGAAGAAAAGCGCTTTATGTGCAAGGGTCCCATGAAGGCTTCATAATGCAATTAAGCCCCATTTTAACAAAAGGCTTGCCATTTTGCTGAGGCATGACATGAGTAATTAAAATATCATTTTAAAAAAGACAAATGAGTGTTCTTCTCTACTCTCTGATATTGTTTGAGATAGATGGGGAGAAAAGATTATGATTTTTGTTTGTTCCAGGGTCCTTTGAGTGGAAATCACAGGCAATGCAGTAAGCCTGCAGCAAAACATACCTATGCAAGCCCCTAAGGGGATCCTAGAAATGAAACAGTAACAAAACCTATTTCCTTCCCTTCTGCAAAGAAATAAGTTTTAAAGCGCTTTTTTTTTAGTTTGTTGTAGATGACTGTGTAAGTATACAAGTGTTTTAGTAAAATCTAGGCATGAAGGAAAAGGAATTGCACAGTACAAATTGGTATGTAGATTTTGCTTGTAGTGAAATGGTGCTGGAATGGCATGAGGCTACGGTGGGCCAACCAAAAGAGTGAGAAATGATCCTAGGTTAAAAGCGGGGAGCTGTAGCTCTGATGATTCCTAAAGATGAGAAAAGAAACATAAATTCAACAGGAGAAATATTATGCAAGGTGTGTTGAAGGGCGCATATTTCAGTAGCTCTTTGACTGTTTTTTGCTAAATCACCATGAAATGTAACCGTTGCAATGCTTTTGGCCAAATTATTATGGATATCTCCTGTGAGGCAGAGGCGTGGTGGATATTGCACTCAGCTGATTCCCCTAGATTGGGATGGAGTTCACTGATGCTATGAAATCCATTGTTTTAGAATATATTGTCATATTCAGGAATTCAGTAATAGCCCATGTGTTGCCAAATCCTACTGCAATGTTTGGCAACTTTACGCTCAGATTTAAAAGGCTAATTTTAGATTCTCAGATAGAAAAGAGAGATGGAGAGAGAGAGAGTGTGTGTGAGAGGGAGACAAAGAGATAGAGAGATGGAAAATCTTGTTAGGAAAATAACAAATGAAAACAAATTGGAGACCCGCTGAACACAGATCCAACTAGATCTTTTTGGTGCCACACAAGTCAATAAATCTCTTCAGTAAGTGTCCTTTGACCATCTGACAATTTCCTTGGATCACTCTCAGAAAGGAGCACAGCAGCTAGTCACAGACACAAACCCACCACTTTGCTAAATTACTCCAGTGTCTTGCTTGGCCTTTCCCTATGGATCTGTTCCTTTGCTGTTCCACAAAAACCTCCATGGTTCCAGCTGTAGTGGGCAGGAGTCCTCCCAGGAGATACATGAGTGACCCTAGTCCTCTCCCCACACCTTCTTCCTGCTGCAGGCTCTGCTCTGAATTAAAACAGCAAAGAAACTCAGGATTGATGATTAAAGCAAAAGTCAGGGAAGATTGCTGTTGTGGCTGTGCTTGCTCTGAGCTGTGGGGCGTGTGTGAATGAGCTGATGGGCATCAGGCCCCAGGGAGTTCCATTTCCTACAAATAACTTCAGCAGTGTGGAAACCATCACAGTCTTATCCTGGCTGAGCTGGTGCTTTTGGGGCAGTCTGTCAGACACTGAGGGTGCATAAGTTAATGGGAGGAGGAGGACCCAGCATTCTCCACAGCATTTTTCTCCTTCCCACTCTTCCAGCCAACCTGGTAGCCATTTTGATGTAGTAGTGATGCTTCCATCCAAACATGGTGAGAACCTTAGGTTAAATGTTGATTTTTCACACCCTGAGGCACTAAAATTCAATAGGTCTTTACAGACACTGAGAAGTATGTTCACTTTGTAGACTTTTTTATTCCTGCAAAAAAAAAGCTATTAAAACATGTGCATGCATCGAGGTATTGCTATGACATTTCTGTTATGCTAAAAAATAGGACTTAAAAGTATTCCAAAACTGGTATTCTGTTGGTTTGTAACTTCCATAACTATTAGAAAAAGGACAAGGTTTTGGGTCTTCTGAGAAATTACTGAAGACAGCGGGGGAAGGGCAGAAATAGTCACACTTGAAAGTTGTCATTTTTAGCACCAAACTAATTCTGCTGTAGGACACAAGACACCGTGTGTGTGTGTGTCAGGGGAGTAGTTGCCCCAAGGATTGGAGTCCAGAAGAGATTGTAATTCAGTTTTTATAACCCTGTGCTGGATTTGAACTTCTGAACTCAGAATTATCCTGTGTTTGTCCTCCTGCTAATGTGCCCATGAGCAGCTGTGATACCATTACATTTCCATTTTCCCCAGTGTGCTGTCATGCGGTTCCGTATGGAAATGAAATGGAAAATGATTTATTGTGTAGGATCAGGTTTTTGTGCTCCATAGTGTATGAATGTAAATCTAGGGTGATTTCCCATGCTCCTGGAACTAGGTTTTACTTGAAAAAAATGTCGAGAATCAACAAATGGGAAAACCACTCCAGAACACCAGAAAAATAGGAGCATTTCTCTCTGCCATCCTTTGTTGGTCCAACAGGGCTTTGCTGATGTTGCTAATGACTGTGAAATGTCTTACACATAAATTCTCAAAACCCCTTCTCCTAATTACATTTCATAATTCTATGGAGCTGAACACACAATTGATGTTATAATAACAGTCATATGATACATCTGAATTCTTGGTGTGAAGCTATTGCAAGTCCAAGATAACTGCTACAAAGAGCTATTTTACAGAATGAAAATTCCTGAGAAACAGGAAATGATGATAAAACATTACTTTATCAGTATTACAGCAGAAATCCAGACAGTAGAGAAGATATCCAAGCACTGAAATAAATGGGCTAGTCTGGTGTTAATTGAGGCACCGATGAAATATATATCATTTAAATTATTAAATGTATGGTAATTGATGTTGTTCTAAGCTCATATTTTATACTGTTACTCTCAGGGGATGAAATTCTGCCAATCTTATCCACAGACCCAAGCAAGTCTCTCTCCCACTGGGAGAGTTTAATTTCATGATATGTGATACTTTTTGTCTGCAATAACATCAGAGTTGTTTGTCTTCTTATTTTAGATTGTAAACTTTCAGGATGTGTAGCTGTATCTCATGTATAGCCCATATCATTCCAGGGCTTGTGTCTCCACTGGGGCTTTCCAGACCTATTGCAGCACAAATCATAGTAAATAAATATTATTTCTTTCTCAGAAGAAAAGAAGTATCAACAGCTGGATTTTCACTTTGTCTCACTCATCGAATGAGAACATAGTCCTTTCTTGACACAAGAAACTTACTGAGAGGTGAGTGATGAAAAGAATTTATCCTCAGTAGAGGATCACAGAAGATATGGCCAAAGTACTAAGACTTGGATAGATTTTGTCTGTGATGTTGGCAGACACTATGCTCTTACAGCCAAAAAGATATCCAAGGGCTCATGTGGGACTGATGAGGAAGAGGTCAAGTATATGGCATTTCTGGAGAGTTTCAAAAGCTTGGGAATCCATTGACTCCTACAAATCCTGACCACTGATTTTTGCTTCAACAGTTTATATTTCCAGTAAAAGCAGGAAAGGATGATAAGAGCTTTCTAAAATGTTAAACTTTCCTTTCTGTTAATAAATACTAAGAAATGGGACAAGTGAAGGATAGTAATTTATTTGTGATTTTTCCAGCCAGTGCTCTTTGTAAGTGTCCATCTGGGCTGATCAGGGGACCTGGGAAAGAAGACAAAGACAGCCTTTGCTGACACCTACTTTTTTCCACTTGGAACAAGAATGTAGGTTGATGGGTGAAACAGGATCCTGCAAAAAGATGGAATGGCTGAAGTGGCAGCAGTCAGTCTCCAGTCTGGCAGACAGCAGTGGCATCTTGCATCGTGGCATTGCACACTTGATACTGTGCTCCAAATTACTAATTTTGAGGATAACAGCCTCCTCCATGGTGTTGCAACCTGCAGCACAAGGGTGATGAGCAAGCCTTCAGACTGAATCACAGTGCGATGGCTGAGTTGTTTTTTTAATCCTAACGAGAGCTGTCGTTAAAAGTTACTGAAGCCTGACTTTTCCTCGCTCTTTGTCAGCCCCCCTCAGCCTGGGCTGCAGATCCCACGTCCTTTGAAGCCATCTGAGCTCTTTTTGTTGTTTTTTGGTGCATAATGATGCCAGGCATGTCTGCTGCTGAGGAGGCCCAGCAAGACCCAATGAAGCGTGACTGGTGGAAAGGCCAATACTGAAGTAAGTGGGAAGCAGCCCCCTGCAGTATTCCTTGAGCTCTCTCTGCCTGCTGGGATTAAAGGTGTCTGTGAAAAACCCAGTGCTTCCTTCGCCAAGGGTAGGATCCTACTCTGTGTTTGGTGTTGTGTAGGACATTAGATGAAGCAAGGGGTTTAGGTCTTTATAGTTAAGGTTGTTGACATTATGTGACTCAATTAATGACATGATGCTTTCAGCTGTTGAGGGCAGTCTTGTTAGCCAGGAAATGTTGCTTCAAAATCACAGAATATATAATTTTTGTAAAGGCTGCCTGCTGTCAGAACCACCGCTTTCTAAGGTGGTTCTACTACTTCTAAGTACTACTTCTAAGGTGGTTTCTACTTTCCTATTTTGCCACAATGCAAGTATTAATAGTTATTTCTATCACATATTGTCAGCAAGAAGCTGACAACAGGATGAGTAATAAAGACATTTTTTGTGAGCATTCAAATTAGCCTGTAATTGGTATTATACTCTATAGAAATTTCCAGCATCCAAGAGATTTTTATTGGAAGTTAAAAAAAGTTAAAGAAACTCAGAGCATTGGATCACCTGTGACAGACCCTGCCCATGCAACATCTGCACTTCTCTCTCTGCTTTGCAGATCCACACTTGCTTGCATCCTGGGATTGCCACTGATGGCTGTGCATTGTTACTGCAGTCTTTTTGTCTCTCACGTGCAGGGCTGATGCCATTTGTTGAAGGGGAGAAAAGAAATTAATTCTGCTAATGACTAATTCAAATTCCTCTCAAGAGCCTTTATATTTTGTAAAATCTGGGTACAGCAAAGAGATGCCCAAATAAACCAACCTTTCCCTGTACCTGGGAGCAGGAAAACAGTTGCCTGGGTCCCTAAGGGCCTTTGGCAGTTTCCCTTGCATTTTATGACCCATTTGATGCCGATGAGGAATCCTCATTTTCTGTCCTTCTAATATGCTTTTTACACTGGCCACCAGCTGGAATAAAACAGGAATCAATAGGTTTTTGAACTCAGCTCCCTTTATCTTTTAATTATTTGCAGTGTGCTTCATTCTGTTTTCCTCCCAACTTCTGCTCTTCCATCCCATGCACATCCCTCCAAAAAGTCAAGCTCCAGAAACAACAATGATTCCAAGGTGCTCCTGCTGACATGATTTAAATGGAATTAAACCAATAATTTACAAATTGGAAAAATCTCTTGTTTTTAAAGGATGAAAGCATTGGCTATAAATTCCTGAGCCCTTCTGTTCTGTGCCCAATTAAATGTGGTAAGTAAAATCTTGCTCTTTTCCTGAATTTACAGTGGTGTATGACAATATGCAGAGTACATCTGTCTACAGATTTATGATTCAGTAAATTTCATCTGCATGGTTCAATGATAATTAAAATAATAAACACCATGGAGTCACCAGTTCACCCAAATAATTTCTGAGAGATGAGGTGAACAGTCCAAAGTGTATCCAAGAAAAACAAGTACAGGCACTGAAGTCCCTTTTGCTGTTCCTTTAACTCCTTCTCATTTCTCTGTTTCAATTCTGCATCCATCCAAGGCTCACATTTCTTACTAATCAAGTCACTGGTACCATTCATTGTGAAAAGCTTTTCAACTTTACAAAGACCAAGTGGAGACACAGTGGGTGGATGAGGAAAGCAGCATCCTTGCTCCTCACCTCTCATCTGCACTGTCAGCAGGAGACCACGAAATGAACCTCTCTCACCCATCCAGCCCCAACCAATGGCTTAAAGAATTACCCTGGAAATTAAGTTTAGAGGACAAATAGAATCATCATTAGTAGGAGTATTTGAATAAATGTGTTTGCAAAACTGTATTTGGGTGGCAAATTGTCAGGATAAGTCTGTAACTGCAGCATCAGGCATCAGTGAGGCATTTCTAGTTAAAAGGGAGTAGCTGAGACTACTCATCTTGTGTAGGGTGTTACCAAGTCAAGAAAAATTGCCATTACAGGATCAGAGCTGGTAGTCACCTGGCTGAGGCATAAGAATATAATATATTCAGGGACCTACCACATTTAAATAGACTAAATAGGACTATAAACTCGCATTCAGTGCAGAATTTAACTGTTGCTGCCTTTCTGCCCAGGCTACAGCCCATGCTGTTAGCTCAGCAAAACACAGGACTATCCATCATCTGCTCTGCTACAAGTTCTCCCACTGTGGCAACTTGATTTGCAATTTCATATTCAGCTTGCACCTCTACACCAGTCCTTATTTTTCACATTTCTTCCAGCAGCACATATTCCCAGATTTCTTCATTTCATGAGCTGTGTATATGAATGTAATTTGCCCAACAGAAAGGCCAATATTTTTCTTAGTCATGTCAATTGGCATTAATCCTGCAAATGTAGATTTTAAAATTTGCATAGCAGAGTAAGCCTATTGATTTCCTTTCTTCTCATTGCTTACCTCTGCTGCCATTGTGCTGTTTCTCAGTTCTCAGAGGTTATTAGTACAGGTGTTAACATTGTTTTGCAGTATCTTTCATGAAGATTGTAAGTTTAAAGAGAAGAAAGCACATAACTGAGTACTTGGTCCACTATGAGAAACATTATCAGGTTATCATGTGGATACATCTCTGATGTTGTTGGCTGTCCAAAAGACAACATGTTTTTTACTCCAATAATCTGACAGGATATGAATATAATTTTGCAATACAGTTGTGTATACTGGACCAAAATACTCACCTTCACAGTTGAATTAGCCAGAAGCTGAAGAACAAGTTTTGCTCTGGGTGAGAGGGACAGAGATCTATAAAAGGGCTCTTATGGCTTTGAAAATGAAGAGGGACGACACCTCAGGTCAGGAATTAAGATGGCAAAGAATAGTCATCTAATAAACTCTCCCAATCATGGCCATGATAAATGTGCCAGAAACAGGGCTGGCTTTACTGGCAACCAGGAGGTGGTAAAATCATGTAGAGGCACTTCTCTCCAGAAATGCAGCTCGTTGCAAGATCTAGGCCAACTTGTGGTTGAGTAAATCCTGTGAGGATTTACTTGGGCTGCTGGACCAACTTCATCCAAAAGGTACAAGGACAAGTCAAAGCCTCTTCTGCTCATCCTTTTTCCCTTTTTCAATACTTTCTTTGGGGCTGTAGGATACATACCAAATTTCCACATTATGAGTATCTTAAGATATGTTCTATTCAGAGGCAGAATGTCCTAAAACATTAAAATTATTTCAGACAATTTTAAGAGAAAAAAATGGCACAAAGCTAACTCATAAAGACACTCATGCCAAGTCCTGAATGAACTCAGGGATAAAATAGTGTTGCTCATCCATAACACACAGCCCTGTAGATGTTTCACAGACAAGAATATATTTGCACCACTGCTGAACTGGCTGATAGCTTGTGTGTTGGAAGGTGCACAATCAAACTGAAATTCCAACATAATTCCTCTCCTCTGGAAAGTGGCTGCAGACAAGAAGACATGAGACCAGCAGGTTTTTAGCCACCCACCTGATCTCTTAGGCCAAAAACTGACAAAATAAAGCAGGAATGTTCAAAATGTGATTGTCTAGGTTTTCATGACAACTCTTGCTGCTTGGATGGCTCTCTCAGCTTCACTTTCAGTAATGTTGCTCTGGTTTACAGGCTGGGATTAATACAAAATCTCCAAATGGCAAGTGTAGCCAAAATGAGACAGAAGATTTTGTACCATGAAAAACCATTGAATTTTGTATCTGTTCCACCTGAACCAATAAACTTCACATCTGCATGAAAAATTGCTATGTTTCCATGGCAGCCAGCTGAAAATTGCTGTTGCTGTCTGCTACAGCACATTAGATCAAAGAGGTGTTAGACCAGGCCTGACTGGCATTATTAACACTACACTTGGGTGAAAGATTTCTGCTCTCAGACAATCAGGAGAGCAATGAAAGAAATTAATTTACCATACATTACTGGTTGTTTTCTCATTATTATCACTTTAGTTTTGTGCCCTTCTATTGTTTTTGCATCCCCTAATTCAAGAATGCATGTCAGATTTTATCTGAAAGATACTTTAAATTGTTTTCCTTCAATTTTAGGCTTTTTCTTCCTTCTATTACTGTATGCTCATGTGAAAGCAGCACTTCATTCTCTGGATTCCACCTCCTAACTGTGGCCAATGTTTAGGGTCTGTGAATTCGATGATGTTCCATTTTTTACAAGATCTGACACAGGACAAGCAGAGATATTACAGGTAATACCTCTGTGCCTGTTCTACAAAGCCTGGCCTGTGATGAAAAGCAGAAAGTCTGTGTTGGGTGAATAAATACTGATGGTAGTAGTTGACACAACTAGATGGTCATTAGGTCAGGTCAATGTTCTAAAAACCTAAGAAGTTTTCTTTTATACTGTAAAGTTATATTTTCACTAAATGAGAGCTTCACATTTATTTCTGGGGAAAAAAACAACCCTGGCTTTCACAAAATTTTCTGTAGCAATCCACTCAGTAACAGCAGTAGTCACTTAAAAAAGAAAATTAAAAACTGAAGAACATATTAATATGAAGGAAGAGAAAAAGTTAGTATGTAATGTCAGATTAGAATTTATCTTTTCGCTTAGAAGACGTCTGTTTCCTATTTGTATTCATCATATTCTATTCTATAAAGATGCCACACAGTGTATCAACAGGTTTCTTACCAGTTTTCCCAAAACACTGAGCAAAACTTCATATCTATGAATTAATTTTTGTCAGACTATTTTTTCCCCTCAGCAGTTAAAAAAAAATCTTTAAATCTCAGAGACATGTTCTTGGCAACCAAGATGTGATTTTATAGGGGTGTGTGGAGCTGTAAATGTACTGAGTGCCTCTTAACAGTGATTCACATGGGCTGTACTCATTCAGGGATTTTCAGTTATAGCCTGTAGGCAGTATCCCAGCATGGACAGCAGATACTGCAGAATCATCACCTTTCATACTTGTTTCCTCTTTTGCTGGTGGATGGTAGAAGAATTGTTGGTAAAGCTTAAAAGGTGAGCATGTTCTTTGGCAGAGCTGAGAACAGCAGATATCAAAACAGTCATACACAAATCAATGAAGTGCAACATGCAGGCCAGCTATTGCTGCATAAAAAGTTGACTAAATCTCAGTGTGAATGAAACCCAGTAAATTTACATATATAGGTAATTTCAAAGAGTTGCTACTTAAAAATGAAATTGTAAACTCAGAAGATTGTGTTTGGAAGACCCTTTAAAGATGATCTATGTAAAATCCTTTCATTGAGAAAGGAGGAGCTGCATTTAGGCATTACCTGAAAGGGTTTGTCCAGTGGGTTTCTGCAAACTTTCAGCATGCCTAATGAGTCTATTCTGCTATTTCAAGACTCCTATCAAAAAGGTTGGGTTTTTCCCAACACATAATTTAAATCTTTGCTGCAAATTTATATAATGTCATTTTATTTTCTCTGGGTAACTGTGGAGACAAGTTTATCACGGTCCTCTCTCAAATAACCTTTAGAGCAATCCATCTGAAGATTGCTGTCTAATCACCCTCCCCAAACCTGCTTGTGCCTGGGGTAAGCAAGAACAATCTTCTCTCATAGTCAATGCTTCAACATCTTGTAACCCAGACTCTCTCTCTCCTGTTTCTCCAGGTCTTTTATAACCAAACACAATGAGGCATTTGAGATCTTTTCTGGGAAAGAGAAGAAAACTGTTATTATCTCCTGTGAGATATGCATGATGCTGCTATTAGTACAGCTGAGATGAATTAACAACATGAAATTATTGCTTCATATTCTTCTTAGAATCAGCCTCAAACCCCAGCCTCCTTTTTGGACCAAGCTCTTATTTGCATGCTTGATTTTTCTTTCTCAAGTATGGCACCATGCAGTCATTTCTGAATGTCATCCTTGTTTGGGTTTTGCTCTTTGTGATCCCTCACAGTTAGCTTGAATTCTAGTCCTTGATGGTTCACAAACCTACAGCACGGTGTGCCACATTTCAGCCCACAATTCTCGGTCCTCCCAGCTGTTCACTGGAATGTTGATTATTTTGCTCAGGAAAGGCCCTTGCAGGAGCACATATAAAGATGGACACCAAATTCCTGAGGCATGCTCCTTCAAACTGTATTTCAAACCAGCTGAGCGCATTATATTTGTAGCAATGTCCATTAACTTTCTTTTGTGACTATCATGTGATGTTACTAAAAACCTTACTGAAGTCAAGAAATATCTGGATCTAATGCTTCCAACTTATCCACGGGGTAAGAGACTGTTCTTCAGATCCTCATGCTGATTACTTTCAGTCTTGCTGATGT